GTCAAAACGTAACCCTGAACTCGGAACCTCATATCAGCTATAAAGAAGAATCACCGCTATATCACAAACGGTCTCAGCACTATCTCTTTGAATAAAAAAAAATATATAAGTATCACAACCACAATCAGTCTCAGTAATATCTCAACTTTAATCACAATAATCACCTCCGAAAGCTTCGCCCCATAATTATCTTCAAGCAGCTTGAAATGCAGTGATTTTTTTTTCTCGCAGGACCTCCATGACAAACGACTTGGTGATAAAATTCCCAAAGCATGTCAATAATATTTCTGGTTCGCTGGGCTTCACAAGGTACTTCTACTACTAAATGGCTCACTTTGTGACGCAGAACCCATTTTGTTGCTGTATATCCCTCGCTACCCTCGTGGGATGGCATCAATTCTAGGATTTTGAATGTGAATGTGGCAGACCACGCTGATGCTTTCACCATGTGCACAAAAGAAAGGCATTCCACACCATCAACGTTTATGTAGTGGTGGTTCCATGCAGGGTTTGGCATTGGTATGGGATTTTCACTTAACAATTGCTGGAGCCAGCTAGCTGTAAAGGCAGAAGCTCCTGCCTCTATTTTCTGCATAGGCACATCTTCAGCAGCAGAAGTAGTTGAATTGTAGCTTGGCTGTGGCGGAGAGTTCATGTGCAATGTACTCGAATGCTCAGATGTGAACCCCTCTTGGGCAATAGAGCTCACTTTGAATTTCGCATTTGTTTGAACGCTATTACTCTGGTTGCTGGTGACTACTGTATCTTGATACACACTATCCACCTTCACTCTTTTGGGGCTTCTTTCATCGGCAGTTTGAAGAACATTCCGGCTGACTCTGGGTTTCTTCGCTGGATGCAAGTGCAGCAAAACGTCCGGGAAAATGCAAAGAACTGCCTCAAGCACCAACTTTGCCTTCTTCAAGTGGTCAAGAATGACCGTGCCTCCAAGCTCAGTGTAGTATTTGCACCTGCCCACTATTTCACTCTAACCACTATGCCATCGCCACTAAACGAGGGAACCACGAAGCAAGGGAACCGTAAGTGGACATGGAGAAGCCCTAATAACAAAATAACAACGAAATAGACTTTATACTGAGTGCACACCCAGGCATCGTGCAGGATGTGGAAGTGCTTGGCAAGGTACGATGCAGTGACCATAGAATGATACGGTCCAAAATTCGCCTAGACTTGAATAAGGAACGACAGAATCTGATACGCAAGAAGCCAATCAATGAGATAGCACTGAGAGGAAAAGTACAGGAATTCAGTCTCGTCTCAGAACAGGTACTCGGCTCTTATCGAGAAAAAGAGCCTTAGCGTTGACCTAATGAATAATAATCTGACGAGTATCATTACACGGAGTGTGCAGTGGAAGTTGGAGGCACTGCAGTTAGACAGGACACTGGCAAGCTGTCCCAGGAAACGAAGAATCTCTTTAAGAAGCGTCAAAGCATGGAAGCCTCAAGTACAACAAACAAAATAGAGTTCGTAGAGCTTTCGAAGCTGATTAATAAGCGTAAGGTAACCCAGATGACACCCCACTAGTAATGATAGAAGAAGTCAGAAAAACCTTGGAGAGCATGCAAAACGGCAAAGCTGCTGGTGAGGATCAGGTAACATTAGACCTGCTGAAAGATGGAGGACAGATTGTGTTAGAAAAACTAGCCACCCCGTTTACGAAGTTTCTCCTGACAGGAAGACTACCAGAATCTTGGAAGAATGCTAACACCATCTTAATACGTAAGAAAGGAGATAACAAATACTTAACAGGAATCACAGGCCGATCAACTTGCTCTCAGTAGTATACAAGCTATTTATAAAGGTAATTGCTAACAGAATTAAGGCAATATTAGAATTCAATCAACTAAAGGAACAAGCAGGATTTCGAACAGGCTACTCGTCAATCGACCACATTCATACTATCAATCAGGTAATAGAGAAATGCTCAGAATATAGCCAACCACTATACATAGCCTCCATAGATTACAAGAAGGCATTTGATTCAGTAGAAATATCAGCAGTCATGCAGACACTGCCAAATCAGGGCGTTGACGAAGCAAATGTAAACATCCTGGAAGAAATCTACAGGGGATCAACTGCTACCATAGTGCTTCATAAAGAAAGCAACAGAATACCAATCAAGTAGGGTGTAAGGCAGGGGGACACAATCTCCCCAATGCTATTTACCGGGTGCTTACAGGAGGTTTTCAGAGGCTTAGAGTGGGAACAGTTAGGGATAAGAGTTAATGGAGAGTACCTTAGTAACCTGCGCTTTGCCGATGACATTGCATTGCTGAGTAACTCGGGAAACGAACTGCAACTCATGATTACAGAGTTAGACAAGGAGAGCAGAAAGGTGGGTCTTAAAATTACTCTGCAGAAAATGAAAGTAATGTACAACAACCTCAAAACAGAGCAGCGCTTCGAGATAGGTAATAGTGCACTTGAAGTTGTAAAAGACTATGTCTACTTAGAACAGGTAATAACTGCGAAGCCAAACCACGAGACTGAAGTAACTAGAAGAATAAGAATGGGGTGGAGCACATTTGGCAAGCACACTCTAATTATGACAGGCAGATTGCCACTATCCCTCAAGCAGAATGTATATAACAGCTGCATCTTGCCAGTACTTAGCTACGGAGCTGAAACCTGGAGACCTACAAAGAGGGTTCAGCTTAAATTGAGGACGACACAACAAGCAATGGAAAGGAAAATGGTAGGTATAACCTTAAGAGACAAGAAGAGAACAGAGTGGATTAGGGAACAAACCGGGGTTCAGGATATCATTGTTGAAATCAAGAAGAGGAAATGAACATGGGCTGGGCATGTAGCACGTAAACAGGATAACCGCTGGTCTTTAAGGGTAAGTAACTGGATTCTTAGAGAAGGCAAGTGGGTTAAGGGGAGGCAGATGGTTAGGTGGGCAGATAAGATTAATAAGTTTACGGGTATAAATTAGCAGCAACAAGCACAGGACCGAGTTGATTGGCGGAACATGGGAGAGGCCTTTGTCCTGCAGTGAACGTAGTCAGGCTGATGATGATTATGATGATGACCATTTCACTGGGGAAATGCTTTTTGCAGACGTAGTCGCATGTAGTGAGATCGCAATCCACCCGGCTAATAGCTCTTGCCCATTCTTGCAAACGTTTAGGGTCAGCTGGAGCTTTGAAGGTGCGAACTTTTTCAGCACAAGACTTATATCTGTTGTTGCAGTTTCGGACAAAGCATCGGTGCCCCATGTCGATTATCGGCGACCTTTTACACAGTCAACGTACATCGCGAATCAGCAGCGCAGAAACTGTCGAACTTGCGACGTGCTGGTTCTCGAAGCCAGCCCATACGTTGCTCCGTCTGTTCAAGTCTGTCCAAGTGTGATGAAGGAAATGTGCTTAAATTTCTATCACAAACATCAAGTGTGTATGGCATGCTCTGATCACCATTTTTTATGGCGTATGTTAGTAACTAGAAAAAATGTTGCCTTTTGTTATACCAATAAACTTACAGAATGGGAAGCCGCACCACGGCATCATCAGATTGTCTGCTATCTGGAGTGGGCCAGTTTGTCCCTTCCATTCGATACAATAGCATTCTATACCAAATGTGAATAATAAAGAAGTTTGGCAATGGGATGCACTAATCCGGCTTTACCTTCCTAAAGCTAACATATCTAACTAAAAGCTTTTTTTTTGTGTGTAACAAGGCAACGTAGCGCGAGTGGCCGGTGCAAGATGTTGCAAACGACACTCGTGTCTGTCGGAGACTGCGGGCGCGCCCACTCTCCTCTCACGGCGGAAAACGAATAGTTCTGTGCGTTGCCGCAAGGATCGCTGCGCGCACGTTTGCTAACCTCCTCTTTCAGGGAGACATTTTCTCGACGCGCGCTGGCCCGGAGTTTCCCCTACAGTCTTTCTTGCTCCGTGTTTAAATATATATATATATATAGAGAGAGAGGGGGGGGGGAGGGAGGGAAATAAGTGTATACCTAAGGGCTCGTTTTTCCGTGTTTTGACACAATATTAACGAGATCTAACAGACAGTAATGCCAAGGAATGTACAGGAAAAGTTATTAGAACCAATGGAATGTAAATAAGAAGAAAGAAAAGTGGGTGAAAAAATAACCAGCCGTGAGCAGGAATATATATATATAATGGAAAGAAGTGTATACTCGAGGACTCGTTCATGTGTGTTTTGCACAATATTAATGAGATCTAACAGACAATAATGCCAAGGAATAATAGGGGGGAAGATATTAGATCGAATTGTAAAGTTGTAAAGTGAATATGAAGAAAGAAAAGTGGGTGGGTGAAAAGACAACTTGCCGTGGGCAGGATGCGATGTGTGTGTGTGTGTGTGTGTGTGTGTGTGTGTGTGTGTGTGTGTGTGTGTGTGTGTGTGAGAGAGAGAGAGAGAGAGAGAGAGACGAGGTCAAGCACCATTTACTGAGACTGGTGTCAAAGGTGCTCCCTGCTAAACTTGGTGTTCTGCAGCCAATCGTGTTCTCTTAGTACAGCCACAAAGTTTCCATGAAAAGTACCAATCTTATTTCACTCATTGAAACTTCATTGATGTTTTCACATGAGCGTATCATTTCCGCCATCACAAGTTATTTTTTGTTTTACAAATATTTTTATGTAGCAAACTTTCTGTAGTTAAATAGCTGTACAATATGCACCACCAATGTAGCACTCCGTATTGACTGCTTAGTCTTTTGCATTGCTTTGTTCACTAGGTTGCATAGCTATTGCATTCAACGTGGTGTTGCCTATCTACCACAACTGGGCACCATTAATAAAACATTGGTTATAAGGCATAGTGATGTGGCCAAGGGCCATCAAGTAGAAATGGCATGTTTGCTCGCTGATGCAAGAATTTAAATCCAAACCAGTAGGAATGGTAGTTTTTATATACGTCTAACATCTGTCCCGATTCTAGATGTCCACATTGTATATTGCATGCATTACAATTCTTTTGGGGTATGTGACTTGTCTTTACAGAAATTGGCCTGGCCAGACCACAAGGTGGAGTGTGCTGGTCTGCGCAAAGTGTCTCCCAATGTGCCTGACTCGTCAGTGCGGTACTTTTGCAGACTGCTGGTGAAGCTCAGTGTCAGTGGCAACTTCTGAATCTGAATACTTGCATGTTTCTTCGGGAGTGAGTTCTCAGCACTTTAAATGTGATAGACCATTTTTGATATTTGTATGAAAAATTAGTTTTCAGTTGTCAATGAATTTTAGAACCCTGCTGTAGTGGTGAAAGAGGATGGTGAATCAAAAGGTTGACATTTTGGTGTTCAAGGTACTGCTACAGTTACTGATTGCTTCTGCAACTAGGACATGTTTCTCAACATTGTTATGTCATCTTTATAAAATTTATATGCACACTTGCCACCAACAAAATGATATCAATAGAAAATTAGCATTGAGCTCACACATTGTTCATCCACATCAAAGCTTGATGTCCCAGATTTAAATCAACCGTCAAGCTACCGACATTCTTATCTCTTCTTTTCATTCATGATGATTTTTTATTCTTCATTTATAATTTTGCTTGTCACATTGCACCATAGCATTATTTCCTATGTACTAATTGTTATATTGCACCTAACGTTAAGGTGAATTTGTAACATGTTTATTTGTACAGTCACATCATGCCTGTTACTTCTAATAATTTTACCAAAGTCAAAAACTAGAGTAATCACTTGAAGCTTTTTGGGTTTTACCCTATAATTTCTGGGGTTTTAACCAATGCTCTTGTGGATTTGGAACCTTACATGTTTTTGTGAAGCCTAGGTCATGTTAAGAAAAAGAGTGGAAATTTAAGGGCTCATTTTAAGTGCTCGTTATTTGTGTGTGTGTGTGTGTGTGTGTGTGTGTGTGTGTGTGTGTGTGTGTGTGTGTGTGTGTGTGTGTGTGTGTGTGTGAGAGAGAGAGAGAGAGAGAGAGAGAGACAATAATAATGATAGCTTGTACAATGATAACATACATCATTGTCTATTAGTTCTCTATAATACTAGGTTATCTTAATAATTTAAAGTGTATACAGTAGAGGTGAAAATGAGCAACATATTCTTGTTGCATGATGAACTGCAGCTGACATTATTTTGAAAAAACAAAACTTAAAAATGCAATCAGTGCATAACAAGCATTTCTTTTGAGTTGTTTGCATCAGTAAGTTGGCTTGTCTAAAAGTGCACTATTCATAATTAGTTCTATACCATGATTATTCATTTTTCAGTCAACATGGTGACAAAACTCTCTATATTATATTGTGGTGAATTTGGTGCAAAAATCAGTATTTGCATTCTGTTGCAGAATGGTGTTTCCCCGATTCATACTCTCATAAACAACAGTCTCAGAAAAAAAAAAAGTTCCATTTCCAGCAGGATTATCAAACCTTTACAGCTGGAAACATTCTTGGTTTGATAATTCAGCTATATAACATTATAAGTAATCTCAAACTGAATGGATATCTAGCTAGAATATGGCCGAATTCCAGTGAGGAACTGACAATGTTCCGGCTGGATATTCATTTACTTTGAGCTGAATTATGAAACCTTCTTTCCAGCTGGAAAGATTTCCCGCTCAGTAATCTAGCTGGAAATGAATTTTTTTTTATCTGGCGTGCCAGCATTATATTCTTAGTATTCATCTCTTTTAGAACAAAAATGCATGGTCAGAAGCCGAGGAGGTGTTTGGAAAGCAAAGGTGTTTTACAGATCTCGTTTCACGTAAGTATAAAAAGTTTAAAAAGAGATCACAAAAGAACCGCAATGTACAGGATTCTCTAAGCACATGCTTTCCAGTTGAAAAACTTCTGTTATAAAGCCCAGGACCAATGCCACTTTACCATATGAATCAACCAGGAGGTCTAACAATTTGCATAGCTTGGCCAGATTAACCGGGTACTCTAAGTGCCAGGATAATAAATATGGCAAATCAGGTCAGCTGAAGCCCAGAAAAAATAAGAAAGCTCTATCTTTGTGGTAAAGTCAAATGTATGACTATTTTTTCTTTTCATGAACCTTCCTCCACCTTGTGGGGGTTTCACAGAACTGATTTTTTATGGGTAAAAGGACACCTGATTTCATCAAGATGTGCAGTGAAGTCACATTTTACTCAGCCAGTGTAGTAAAAGAATTGTTAGCTTATTTTGCATGTTGCTATATATTCTACGTTATCTTATATGTTGCCAAGCAGGAAACCTTAGGCAAACAGCAGGAACATGATGAATTGTTTGCTTATCAAAAATGTTGTTTAGCTTGTTAAATTGCTGGATGATAGACAAAGGATTACCACTCTCAGTGTATCTTCTTATAGTGAAACAGGCCTTAGTGTGCCTAATACTTGCTTAGTGGGAAGTTATGGCCACTGCCCAAAGAGCTTGTACTAATTACGTTCAAACTGATGCCATCTAGGAATAGAACAGAAGGGAGTGTCTGTAATTGACACATGTCTTTGTTCATAATATCTCCTATATCATTGTGTGTCAATACATAGTATGTTGGCGTAGAGCTATATTCGGGAGTGAATACCTGGCACCATGATTATACACTTCCTCTAATGTGGTGTTTGCAAGTTGAGGCCTACCAAATTCCTAATTGTCTCTATGTCTCTGCCATATTCCTAATTCTTCGTGATGGCGTAGATATTTTAGAGACCTCGACAGCCAGACCCGTTCATGAGCTATGTTTTCTTCTCACACCATCATCAGCCATGTGCTTTTAAGTTTGCTTTCTTTTTGTGATACACATCAGTTCTTTGCAATCCTCACTTTGCTTCACTAAATTAAAGGTCAGTTATTTATGTTCCATCCTGCAAAATCTGACGGTTTACTCTTTTTTTTTTATATTTTGGACAATGCTATTTGCTTTTGGATGGCCGAGGACACTATGGAGTCAGACCAATTTGCTCTCATAGAGGTGGCAGGAGTGTCAACATGTTTTCATCGACACTGAGGGCTGCCATGCCAGCCCAATAGCAATACACACTGTGAGAAATGTATTTTCTAACATCGGGACCCACCCATGTGCGAGAAATGTGGTGAACCACACTCTCTTCTCCCCATTTTAATTCAGTTCAAAGGATTACACACTCTGAGAAAAAAGCACGTCTTATTACCTTACCAAGAACAAATACCGCTTCACCCAGCAATCTTCATCAGTAGGGATTCATTTTTCAAACATGATCGACTCAATGTTCTCATTTCTAAAAGATGTTCATTTTTTTTTCACGTAATTTAACATGGTAATCTGCAGCACGACCTCTGAGCAGAGGTCGCTGCTATGGTAGGTACATATATTGTGACCCTCGTCCGTGGGCGCCATGTTGGCCATGAGAAGCAGAGCCAAGTGGCGTTCTCACGTCTGGAAGCCCCCGTGCTCTTTTCTCGAAAGGAGTCCAGCAGTGGGAAGAAACAAAGGGATTAGAATGTGGCAAAGTTCAACTGTTCATAAGCCAATATCCCTACGAGCACTTCCTCCTGATGGCTTGTTTGGCGAGACGGCGAGGCAAACCGACCGCGCAGGTCGTGTCTAAGCAACAAAGGCCTCTACTCCTTGACTGCCCTTCCAGGGAAAGACAGCTGCAGCTACCTAATTGCCAACTTGTTCCGGGATGCAACCCATTTTCCCTCTCCTCGGTAAAACTCGGCCTGGAGGAGCATTGCGTCAGGAGATGCGACCCCTATTCGGCGACCGTGTGTTATTGACTGATGCTCTGGAGGGCGGTGTCTTGTGAGTGATAGGTGTTTCAATCAAGGAGGAGGAGCCCGACAGGATTTGAAACGATGCTGCAAAGTGCTGGATGTGGCTCTGAACCATAGTTTGACGGTTCATCCACCATGCCCGTGGTTGGCGGAACTCCTAACCTCTATGCTGTAAATAGTTGTAAATAGTGATATAAACCTGTTTGTTTTTTCGTTCCCCAACTTGTCGACGTTCGTTTTTTCCACCCGAAGTTGCTCCATGCAACCACAGGAATCTGGGTGCTTCGTAACCCTGTCGCCTCGACAACCCATGTCAGCGGCGACGCGTCTGGTCGATCCCGCCTCGCAACAAATAGTAGAAAGCACCTGTCACGCGGCCCTTGGACACAAGGGTGTAGAGGAGACATTCGTACTCTACCACCTCTCTACAGCTCTATCAAGACTGTTTACCACCCATTTGCACTGCACGTATCTTATGCCACTTTCATGATTTTAATATATATATATATATATATATATATATATATATATATATATAGAGAGAGAGAGAGAGAGAGAGAGAGAGAGATTTTACCCACCTATACAGCGAGCAATTTATGCCCCTATAAAGCCAGTAATAATGCCCACAGATGTACTGGCACTCTTTGGCCATCAAATGGTCCTTGCACCAAAAAACACCTGATATCACCATCATCATCATCAACAACATCTAGCTCAGCTGCAACTACTACTATGGAGACAAGTTTCACTTTTGTGTTATGAATGACTCTTATGAAAGAAAAATCAACCACTTTTTAATGGTATCTTCAAAGGGACTAACAACTGCCCAATACATGAAGTGAGTTGAATTCACGGATGGAGAGATTGTCCTTCATAGTGACTCGAATCAACCTTGTTTTTCTTGTGAGAAGTGGAATTATATTTTTTTTCTTCATTAAAAAGCGCTATAAACAGCCTGTGGCGCCACCTGGTGGTGAAAGCTTCAATTATTCGATGTTCCTGGTGACGTGACTGTTGATTAGATTACGCGTCAACAATTTTCTTATTAGTATTGAAATATTGTTTGTTTCTTTATATTAAAAGATATTACTCCATAAATATGTACATATGGGCCTGTGTTAGTACGCATTGAAGGGACGCTGCCTTCGCATGACGTAATGATCTCTTGCTCGTCATCGCGTCTTGAGCAACATTTCTGCCGGCTCATAAAACCGTGCACGCTGTATCCAGGTCACCAAAATTTGGGAATGATGTGATTTTCCTACCTACACTTTGTTTCAGAAATGATAATCTGTATTGTTATTTGGCACGGTCACGCATATGCGCACTGAACTTTTCGGTGACTTGGCTTGGCTCGTGTGTCGAGAGAGTAACAACGACAGGGAAATCCAGTCACAACACAGGCGAAACAACCTTGTGCGTAGGCGCACGCAACGCGGTATATATACAGCATTGCTTTATAAAGGCACATCATCTCATTGTAATGGCATGTTGTGTCAAAAAAAGTAAAGCTCAAAACAAACACAGTTACGCATAGTTACAGGAACTCCTGCGAAAACAGAATGACAGCATGCACAACTCACTAGGAGGGCTACCGGCATCGCTATCAATTCTCAGCATTGCTGGACAAAAAGGCACATCCATGTTCAGAACCTTTCTGATCGAAAAATACTGCTTGTAAGATAACTATATGCTTTTGGGAATAACTACTGCAGCTACAAACACTACAAAGGCTAAGCTTTCTGTCGCACTTGAAAACACTGGATCGAAAAAAAATCACTTGTTGGCTCCTTTAAGTCTTTCGTTGTCACGTTTATTCTAATCTATCCCCGGTGATCGACACTTTCCGGTCATCGATTTTGGCATGTTTAATTTATTTGTCGTGCACCCAGCACTTTCTAGTAGTTAGTTCAGCCACTCAATTTTCAGAATTTTTTTGGATTTGCCAACTTGGACAACATAGCGATTTTTTACAGGCTTTTGCGCGAACCAATGTGTGTGTGTAGATAGAAAAATGCACTAGGTTGGCAAACTTGACAGAAGTGCGTGCCCCTCGTGATTATGCTACAGTAACATTGAAGTGCTGCAATGAAAAAAAAAAAACAAACTCTGCAAGCCAGATATCTAATTGATATGTTAGCTTCGCAATTTGACTAAGTTGAGCAGTAATAATTTTCGAAAATTTATGCCAGCTAATCAATAGAGAGCTGTTGCTGGAAGTCAGGGAAAATTAATTCTGGAAAAAAATATTTGCTAAGGTCCGCCGCATGTATAAGGTGTGCAGGTGGCTCCCACAGCCAGTTTCCAGCCGCTTTGGTTTTGTTTGTATCATTATATCAGACACACGGTCACATCTAGTGTCACCAGTCGCTCATATTTCGTAGTCGTCACGTGCGCGTGGGTGCGCATCAGCGCTGCTTGAAACTGTCTTGCGAACCCACCTGAATTGAGTGAAAATGAGCTGAGATTTCGGGGATAACAGTACCTCAGTGCGAAGTTTCATGGGGACGATGTTTTGCGTCAGCTCGAGACATCCGTAGCCGTTCATGGGTTTGTTTTGTTTACATCCTCAAGTTGTCTCCTCTGCCACAAGTGCATATAGCTTTTGACCTTTGTGCATAATCTTATAGTTACTCAGGTTACGTGCGTGGTCTACAATTCGCTAGAGCATGGTGTGGTGGCGGCGGCTGCAGAGCTTCTTCTAACGGCAAGAAGGCCCCCGGAGCACATCTTGGCCCTGACTACGAAGCAGTGCGAAACATTTTAGAACTGCGCACGACATTGTTCTTTTTTTATTACGATATGCACAAAGATGCAAGGGAATATGCTTGGATGCATATATTGCAACGCCAACTTATGCGGAGAGATGTGGCTTATGGAAAGAGGTGACGCTTAACTAAATAGCAAAGTTTATTGGACATCTCATTTATAAAGGAAATATTCACATTACGGGTTACAGTCTATATTGGAATACCTAGAAACTCTTATTGCAAGGCGATGATAATTTACTGAAAAGAGTGTACAAGTACACTTGTGTCTCTCGAAAAATCATGCAATTTTTCACTGCATGGCATGAGCAATGAAGCAACACCTCGGTTCTGATTTTTTTGTCTATGTGAAGAGAAACAGTTTATACAACACTAACTATTTTTATACTGTTCCTGGGTCATTTATCTACAAAATATGCTCAATTTTCTTTGTTTTGAATATTTTTGCATATATAATGTTTTTTATTCCACTGTTTACCAGCTGGCGACGAAAAATTTCACACTTTTCACATTTTTAATTCATTCTAAAATATTTTTGTTGCTCTACAACCTATATTTTTTGGAAAGATCATTTCATTCTGCAAAGTTTTCTATGCTGGAATGCATGCTGGAGTACTTTTCAAACTGACGAAAAGGATCTTCTCGAGACATATGAAAAACAACCATTCTCACGCGGTAACGAAAGATTTAATAGTATTAAGGATCCAGTGCAGTTGCTAGTGATCATCTCTTCTCTATCTCTCATTTAAACTTTAAGGAACCCCCTAAACCACCTCTGATATTTTTTTAAACATTTGAAGTGAGCATGTGCATCGTGTGCTGAATGCAGTCATGATCAATGAATCCACACCTGGCAGTGCTACAAGCTGCCAGCATGCCCCAAATTCGAAAGAAAAATCTCTCCTCCTCTCTGGGCTTTTTTGGCCTCCGTGTGACATACAGCACAGTGCATTCTGACGCGTGGCGCATGCATGCTGCGATTGCTCAAGCAACCGGTTAGTATGCAAGCAGCTATCTGCGCTCCTTGTTGTTTGTCGTGTTGCCCGCCTGCGCCACCTCCCTGCGGCACATGTTCTTCTAGGCACGCACAAACCACTTGTGCGCAGACTGCCCAATAGAGAGGACGGGGGGGGGGGGGGGTGATTCTATGGAAAAATACGAAAAGGTAAGAAAATAGAGTGTGGAGTGCACAAAAACTGTCTGTCATGTGAGGACACATCAACCGATACACTCACGGGAAAATGGGGGTCGAAGGAACAGGGAGTGTGAAACAAAACAAAAAGTCACAGTTTTGCCGCAAAAGCAAAGCAGTGAATGCGATAGCAACAAATTGCAAGGTCACACGCAGAATGGAAAGCAGATCTAAACTTGCCCCGCATTTCTCGTGCACAACTGATGCACGAAACATACTCATAGGTACACATGAATGCGAATAAGCGTCTCGGTTGTTACTTCACTGTGTCTGAAAAGTGGGCCCTTTTTACTTACGGAGACTGTGTATGTGATTACTGACTGCAGTGGCCTTTGTGCACTCGGTAACTACAACAGAATCGTTTCAATGAAAGCCGAAGGCCAGCCCAAACGTGCAATCCTTCCCACCGCGAGATAAGGGCGTGCGAGTGAGCGTCCACCCCCTCCTCTCCACTGGGCAAAGTATGCATGGGAGATGAAAGCACACGCCTTCACATCGCCGCGACGCATGCTCATTGCGCCATCTTGCTGGTAATACTGAAAACACAATAGTTTCCCCAAAGATGCCTGTTACCAGCGGTAAGTGGTATACATAATTAGCTTGCCGTTTGAACGTTGAATGACATCTCCTCAGTGGCACTGTGGTTAACGCCTCACACTCATGACTCGGAGGTCCCAAGTTCTATTCTGCGTGCCGGAGTTTTTTCTGGATTATTTTGGTTCCTTGCGTTTAGATATCGTATATACAGATATGTATGCATATACGGTGAGTGACGGCAACGCTGATGTCAATGCTGGCGATAAAATTCACCTGATAGTGTTCATATAATTGCTATTGCAATAAAAAAAGAAAGTAAGGTAAAGAGGAGAGTAAAAAATATGAAGTAAAAAAAATGTTTAAAAAAAACGCCAGGCTTATGGGGAACGCGCAGCACAGTCGCAGGGAAAGATAGAAGAGCGGTCTTTCAGAGCATTTTCTAAACACTCTTTGGGATGCTACAAGTACACTGCAGGGTACCCACTACACCATAAATAATCATAAATTGTGTGTAGTAGGCCAGCATTTACTATGCTATCCTTGTCATTCTTCGGAGAAGAGTGGTATCCGCTACACATTTGTTAAAAGTGTTGTGCATTTTTTTTATGCAGTGGCTGATGATGATGAAGAAATATGCCTGAAGTGGGTATGCACCACAGTTAATAGGTGATCAAAAACAAGTTTTCTAATGGGTTGAAGCATTGGATGACCCACTCATTATGCAGTTCTTATTGTGTGATGACTGGCTGTTCATTTGATGTTCTAAAACGCCTTATAACTCATGTTAACGCGATTCCTTTTCCGACATCAAGCCTGCCTAAGGCCAGTTTAGAAAAGAGTTCCAAGCACTGGCATGGCTCAGTGGTCTGGCACGCTGCGTACCCGGGTTCGAATCCCATTGTGTCATTAATGTTTATCATTTACTGAGTGTTGTTTTTGTTTGATACTGGTTACGGACATCGGCGATGGCGAACAACTACGGCGCTGCGCGTGACCTGTGTTCTGATCTCATAACAGCTTTCGCTGTAAAACTTGCATGATGGGCAAAGAGATACCTAAAGTGGCACTCAGCGAGAGGGCAAAGCAGCTTTGAGAGAGGACACCAGTGGTGGGTAGCAAAGGAAAAAATGAAAACAGCAATCACCGCGTTTTGATAATCAAACGCATCTCAATTCGCTATTACAGCACCCGTTTAAAAAAATTCTCACCGTTTTGTGACAGATCTGTGTAGGTTGTACACTCATGCACAACTTCCCCTCCACAACTGAATTTTGACCTCTTGGAGGTTTAGGGGTCATTTAAAGGAGTAGAAACAAAAAATTTGTGCACCTTTGTTTTTGGGTCTTAACCAGTGGCTACTGTCTTGTTAACAGTGACAGTGAAACTAATTTGCCCCCCCACGACATGACTGTTTAGCTATAAGCTCTTATGTTACGACAGGAAGCAGTTTTGATTTTCGAAAAGCACGCGGCGGCCTTGTGGCATAGTCGGCCTGCTCGTCAACCAATACTATCGTGTGACCTCGAGAGCCGGTGATGTCACTTTCCAGCCTCTTGTATGTTGCCAGCCCTGTTGTTTTTTCTGCTGTGTTGAGCGCTGCAAGTGCTTAATTTCTCGATTGTCAAACTACATTACTTATCTAGTGCCACGATGGTTGAAGGAGGTGGGAGGAGTGCAAAAATCATTCAGAAAAGCTTTATTCGCTTCACAAATCTTGCCAGGGGCTGCAATTTTGTTCTTGTCGTCGACCAACTAAGGCAACGTTTTCGGTGAGGCTTGGGGCAGCTGCAACATTAGGCGTGCTGAAACATTTTCGCTGGAATCATTTGTAATGTAGCAGGTTGAGAAGTGACGAAGGAACAGTGAAATCACCACATTCGTGCTGTGTAACAGCGTGCATGTGGGACATGTAAGTGGCATGATATACGCATTGCTGACTCGTATTCATATCAGGCAACGCTGCATTCTATAGGCATACCAATCCCACATACATATGTTGGAGCACCAAAGCAGTTATTTGTCCACCTTGCAGTACAATCTCAGCTGTAGAGAGCTTTGGTTTTGTCTGGAGACTTCTTAACATTTGCGTACGTAGGGTTACCAGAGCCACGGATGGATGCTGCAGCAGCAGCGGCTGCTGTAAAACCAGTAGTGACATCTTGCAGAATTTTGTCTAACTACAATAATTTTTTTTCAGCTTTTTTTAGTCGCTTAACTGTTCTTGTCAGAAAAAGGCAGTTAAAATACTGTGAGTCTATAATTATCTCACTACCAATGCTTTACACAGAGTTAGCTGGTAGGTCGGTGCAATGTTATTTTAGTGGGTCTTTGGTTAGGTTCTGCATCATCAGGTGTTGCTACCACTGTTCATCTCATGCACATCTCTGGTAACCCGCCAGAGCTCGTGAAATTCATGGTACCCACTCAATTTGCTTCTATTTCCGAATCGGCACTTTCACCAACTTAAAAGCTCAATTATAAAATACCTTTTAGGCTGTACTCGTGGCTCATATTGCACTGATGACACTTCTATGTTTGCATCAGTGTAAGGTGACAGTCAAATTTGGTCAGATTATTCGTGTGGCTACTCCTTCTAAGTGTTCTAGCAGCAGTAGAAAGCATGCTACACCAGTGAAAGTTGGAAATTCAACTTCTGTTTTTCAAAACAATATATTTACTCACTTGACAACTCTCAGTATTTTGACTACATAAGACCTATTTTCACTGCATATATCTGGCAAGTAGTATCACAATTTCTGAAAAAAGTTTCTCATGGCTTGCAATATTTACCCATCTCTGTCGTCTGTGTGAAGAGACTTCCAAGTGCTTCCCAACATCAGCAGTATTTGTGTGTTGATGTATACTTTATCATAACTGTATTATTTTGTGATTTGTACCACTCAGATAACTCGTTTTTTCTTGCCATATTTAGATGTGGATTCCATTAAAATTGACCACCCACGCTACTTCAAAGAATTTAAACGACTCTGGGAGACCAGCAAAATTTTCCTGGATGACAAGTATCTACCAGAACCTGAGGTTGGCCTGGAGATTTATGGCAAAGTAAGTATTTTGTGAACTTATGAGGTTACAATATGTGTTTGGTACTTTATGCTGTACCAATCTATTGCCTGTATAATGTAGCGCTTGTATTGGTGATAACAAGTGCCATATGTCTTGTCGTTGTCCTATTTTCGCTTGAAAATAAGCTCTAGACCAGTGTTGTGGAATGGGCACCATTCCATGTCAATTCTATTCTGGGAAAGTTGCAACTTGTCGTAATTCTATTCTTTTCGAATCCTCGGAATGAGGATTCGGAATGAGGATCCTCGGAGCCCATTCCCACCCCGGGAACGGCCAGGCAGGTGAATTCCATTTTTGCAATTCCTCAATGTAGGAAAGGCATACCTTAATTGTTTTATCTGGCTAAGAATAGTTCTAACAACATAAAGATAATGTCATCACATCAGTAAGAACTGCATAAATTTGCTTAACACGTTACCACGGTCGAGGGATAGTGGCTTGGTGACTTATCTCGTGTGCAGTACAACCACACTACTAGTTCCTTTAGGTGCAGTTCTCCCGCTACCTATGGTATTTGCATGGTGAGCACAATTTTTAAAAAGCTAGTAAACAGTTGGGAACGCATGCATTTACTTCTTTCGAGCATATTTTACCACTTTCGCGGCATCTCTTTACTATAGACAGCAGCTAGCAAAGTTTCACACTTTTGCTGTTACTAACCAGAAATGCTTTACTGGTATTTTTAACTAGATAACTATTAATCCACATACATTGCCAGATCTCTCGTAAACACCACCGTATATCCTGGTGTAATCGTGACACTTTGAATAAAAATTTATACCAATCTTAAATTTATCAATTATTTTGAAATAAAAATTTTGTGCTTAGTAATTACACACATAAAAGAGCAGACCATGATGTGTACAAAACGTCCATTATTTTTCTAAATGTTATAGCTGCTGACCAGTACACAGTGTGCTATTCCAAAGAAGAAGCATAAATAGCCAGTAAACGGCTGCTACAGTATATGATAACAGCTATATCTTAGAATTATGTGTGCAGGTTTGTGTGTATGCCCTTGTTTGTGGTTCTTTCACGCCTCTGTGTAAGTTGCCGTGTTGTGCACTTGCCATTGTAATTACATGAAGTAATTAGCAGCCACTAATTATTATATGGACAATTGCTCTTCACTTATTACCCTATATATACATATGTAATTGAATTATCTTGATGTGTCAATGTACATGCACATATAAATGCCCATTAACTAAAGATTCAGCAATGTATTGATTATTTGGGTCAGCACTATTCACCAACTACTTTACAAGCTAACAAGTTTCACTAATCAGCATCTTACTACTTTCACTTACAAAAAGGTAAGTGTTTCTTCTGACAAATAAATGGTTAATATTTATTTAGGTGAACAAGCAGGCCTTTTCTTTTAAAGTGCATGTTAATATTGTTTAAGCTTAAAATGTTTTAATACTAAAATGACGACTTAGCACATCGTTGCATCCCCAGGAATACGGGGAGGTGCCACCTTAGTTACATGGGATGGCCTGCATTGGCTGGCTACCAGAACCAATGTTTTCAAAAGCCTGTTTTATCTCTCTGCACGTTTCATCTTGTACAACAGTTCATCACATGCGCAGTTCATCATGTACAAACGTACGCTGCACTGACCTATAAACTTTTGCGATAGAGCTTCAGGCAAGGGCACCCGTGTGTGTAGGAGAGGGGGGGACAGTATTCCGAAAAAAAAGGGAGGGGGGTAATATGTGGTGAGACAGCACACCAGTGTCGATACGCATCACAACTTGGAGAAGCACTTTGTCGAATATGCGTCCGAGTATCCCATGGTGGCAGAAGCAAAAACAAAGTCAAGGATAAGAAGACAGCAGGCGACTGAGGCGCCACTGAGGGGGAAAAATTACAAGGTGTGAGGTGGGTTTGCCACCATTGTATAGTTCCACAAGGCGGATACCATGTCATAGAGGCGTGGTTACGCGAAGAATACAGAAAAACTTTGGAGCAACCCAGTCTATATATAGACGAAATTATAGTAGGCATGTTGCTTATAAATGTACCATGCTTGTAATCATCCAAGGCTTTTTAAATTACTGCTTTATTGTTGAATTAGAGGGTCTGGTTTACTAACGTTTGAAGTTTGAAGTCTGAAAAAGAGCAAGTGCACAAAAAAGTGCTTTACTTTCAGAAAAAGACGTAATTGCATTCCCATTTTATATCGTAAAAAATGTGCGTAATTCCATTCCTATTCGATTCCGAGGTCGCGAAAATGTGGAATGACTTTGGATTCACTTCAATTCCCGAGTGGCAACTCCGCGACACTGCTCTCGACACTTGGCTGTGCATGTCTTATTAAATTGTAAAAATAATTAATGTTGTATCAGGTCATCATTGGTCATGCAGAAATTATGTGTGCATGACATGCAATTTAAGTGTGTGCAAATTTTTATAAGTCGAAGCCTATTACATTCATTTCTTTTTTTCGCACGAGTTGTCATCTGCATAATAATGAGATGTGCCGTAACTCCTCCTTCCTGCCCCAACATTTCTTTGCACCTGTTACTTTTAATAACTACTGTGGAACTTTTCACGACTCCTGGTGACACCATGAGTTTGAGAACCAGTGAAACCTATTTAATACTTTCTTTTAGCTCACAAGTTTTCCTTGGGCCTCCAGAATACTATCCAACTATCTTGTGCGTGCACAACCCCTTTTTCTCTGATCATTTTCTTTGCCTAGCATTAATTATTGCTCTACTGAACTGGTACCTTGTCTACAAGACCAGAATGGCATGGTATTAGTGTCATTGACTTTGCTTTGAAAACATATTCAAGAACACTCACTTTTACCAATTGTATTTTTACGTTTAATATTGAAGGATGTTCATTAACATGGTTAGGTTAATAGTTGGGTAATGTAATCATGGCTTCTGTAGACTGCACCAGCTCGCGTCTTCGTTTGGCAGTCCATAGTTCGTGTGGCAGTCCACGAAATTTTGAAGCTCTTCACCATCACCTTAACTGCAAATGTTTTAGCTTTATTTCTTGTGTAATTGTGCAAGGTCAACAACACCCACATATACATCAGGTACGAGTGCAAGTTGTCGATCTTGCTAATTACTGTCATATAGTGATTAGGAATGATGCATTGTATCAGAAATATCTGAGCATTAATTTTTGACCATAAAGTTTTTTAATAATGCAGAGTGTGATATCAAAAGTATCACAGGTGTGCTAGTAATGATTGATTTTAAAAATTAATTTTCATTATTTAACTGATATCTTATTTACTAACGTAATGAATGCACTTTTTTTCTCAAAAAAAATCGGAGTAAAGTTGGGGGTGCGTTTATTGTGCTGAGCAAATTTTAAAAAAACTATTTCGAGATGACCAAAATGTGTTAATGCAAAAAAGAAGAAAAGTTAGATTGCTTATTCTTTCGCAATTGTCATAGATGTCAGACTCTGGTGTTTGCAGACACGTAGCGTCGCCTGTCGGTGCAGTTTTGGGTAGTGCAAAGCTACACTCCCTTGCCACGGCCACTCGATCTTCTCCGTTGGTGCGGCCCGCTGATTGCTCTTCCCTGCCTGTGAGAGCGCTAGTTCCCTTTCAACCCGCCGCATCGGCTATGGTGCTAGCTACCGACTATACAGGTGTTTCTCCCAAAGCTCTCTTCGGCTATCTGCGTCGATAGATTCACGCGTTTCTGATCAGTGCTTTGTCATGCTCTCATGAATAGGCTGCGTCACTTTAGCTGGATTAGTGGCCGATGACTGAGTGACACATATTAGCGCAAGCCATACGACAAACACAGAAAAGAAGACTATCCCAGCCACGGCTGTTGAAGGCTGTGTGCTCCAGATGCTTAGGATATATTCAACTCTGGGGTGTTAAAAATATCTTAAGCATCCCTCCCTCCCCTCAGCATGGCTCATAATCATATTGTGGTTTTAGTACTGAGACGTCAGATATTATTATTATTATTATTATTGTCATCTTCATCATCATTATTAAGAACGGTCTACCTCGGTGGAACAGTGGCAGGGGCTCGGCTATTGGTCGCGGCTTCGATTCCAGCCGCTGTGGTCGTATTTCGATGAATAGTAGAGGCCCGTGTATTGTGGGATGTCAGTGCACATTAAAGAACACCAGATGCATGGCTGAAATTTCTGGAGCCCTCTATTACGGCATCTCTGATAATCATATGATGGTTTTGGGATATAAAACCCCACATATTATTATAAGAAGAAGATTTTTATGGTGTCTATATCGTTCATTTGCTGCGATTTAGACTTAGTTACGAGCTAATCCAAGCCCACTGAAATCTAAGGTTACCCCTGAGCACCAATGATAGCGGGCTACATATGTGGATTTCGAGATACACTCAAACCTAATTATAACAAAGTTGCATCTTACACGAAATAAGTTTGTTATATCCAAAAATTTGTTATAAAGGTTATTTTAACACTATATCACAAAAATATTTTTAGTTTACTTTGTTATAACCGATATTTTGTTATATCCAGTTTTGTTTGAATGTATTTTGGGGACATGGGCATGCCGGCGAAAAAATTGTTGGAGCAGGCTCAGCGATATTGCCAGTAGCAACATGTGTATTGAATGTGTGCCGTTAGACTGGTTTTCTGCATGAAGTGAAGCAATGTCTAATATGCTTGCGGTAATATGTCAAAGCCTGTTATACACTACTAACTAGCCCAACAATTCATTTTTTGGAGCTAGGTGGTTCTCTATACATGCACTCTATTAGGTACATGCTGTAAGTTTGGCTGTTTGATTGCAATTAAGGAAGCATAAGATCCTCGCCTTTACCTTTCTTGTACAGGAACTCAACATGGCATTAATAATGTTATTGGTAATAATCAAAATACAGTGGCTCTAAATTCAGTGTCTAGTTACTAGCTGAGGTTTATGTTTATTTTATTTAGAAAATGTACTGTGCATATCGTGACATATTTATCTCCACGGTATATATCTAGGTATAATGTGAATT